CGGTCCAAATCTTAACATTTTAATAAGTGTTAGTTGAGATGACGATAAATGATTTAAAACTATTGTTTATTAAATACCTTCAATTAATTTCTAAACCATTACTATTGGAAATAAAGTACTTTCCATTTTTTCTAGAGAATGTTATTATTATCATGTCAATATCAAAGTTTTTTTCACTATATTTGACTTATGATCAGAATATAATTTTTTTATCTAATTATTTTCATAGTGCAGTATATGTGTAATGAAATCACCGCAATGTACTGAGGTGAGAAGTAAAAAATGATGAAAATAAATGCCTAGTTTGAAATCGTATACAACATCTAAAGCCCTAATGGGCGATATTTTATAACGAGATTTGTTAATTGTGAATATGATTGAACAATTCTCTCAACATTAAGGAAATAAATTAAAAAGTTGAAAATAATACACAAATGCATTAATATATTATCTAGATCCTTGCAATGACAATTCAAACAAGAAGTTTGAAAAATAATATATGTAGATGCATTTAATAACCAAAGAGATTAACAATATTTCGTACACCAATTTTAAATAAAGAATTTTCAATTTAGGAGGTTTATACTCTTGGAGAATATATAGACGTAACTAATTATAAAAGGGGTTTAAATATTTGAAATATAAAAATTGAGATATCTCAATAATTTATGTTTTTATAAAAATTAAAAAAAAAAAGAAATAGAATCAAAAAGGAAAATTTATCGACAACACTTTTGTACATAATGTACGCTTCTTATTATCAATAGCGAAGGATATTAAAATAATGCATGTCAATTGAAGTAAAAATTGATTAAATAAAAGGATGCAACCTATCGAAATTGAAATTATTAAAGAAACTGAAAGCTTCTAGATTTATAGTCTGAAAATTTAAAAGTGTATACTTATATGAAAAGAAAAATGAGAAATAAAATCATAATAAATAATGCACGACTCTCAACATAATAAATTTGGCAAAGATCGTGGTAGATGAAATTTCAAATTTGTATCTTGATATATTGACTATGCATAAAATTTAAAATTCTATTGTAGTCAACTCATGTGACATGATTATCAATGTTCTCATTGAAGGATTTAATATATTTGAAGTATATAATTCGAGTGATATTATTATGAAACAAAGTAAATATGTATCGTGCTCTTTTTTCCTTGATCAAGTTTATCTTATTGTATTTTTCTGATAATGTTTAATGAGGTAACTTTGGTGGTATATTTAAAGGAATGATGTACTATTTTTTTCCATCATTATGATTTTTTTCACAATATTTTTCTTAATAAGGTTTTAACAAATCATATTCTTTGTGTAATTAATGTCTATTACCTACAAGATATTTACCCTCAAAATAATAATCTTAGAGTATCTCTAAAAGACTCTTTATTTTTAAAGAACATATTCTATTATTTGAAGAGTATCTATAAATTTAGAGAGTTAAAATTTTGAATTACTCCAATAAACTCTTTATATGTAAAACTTAATTTTCTTACTCCCAAAAAATATTTATTATTTTTCTCTTTCTTTTATTTTAACTAGTTTTTCTCTAGATTATTTTATTATTTTTCACATTGAAAATTAAAACACTTTAAAATGCATTTAATTATAGAGAGCGGGTTTGACTCCACAAGCTTGATACGATCAAAGGTGGAAGTACACATGCTGAGCAGAGAAGCTTTGTGTGGGAGGAGATCATTTAGTGTTTTTTTTTTTTTTTTTTTTTTTTATTTTTTTTTTTTTTTTTTTTTTTTGAACTTTTTCTTTTTTGGTTGATTGTATGAGTGATTTTTTTCCAAAGTTGGAGAGTCATACCCACTCTCTAAATTAAAATGTTAATTTAAAGATTCTTTTGAAACATAATTTTGAGGGTTGACTCTTTCATATAGAGAACATCTCATGTTTAAAGAGTCTCTAGGAAATACTCTTGCATGTAAAAGACTCTTGAAGAGAATAATAAGAGATATTTTTTGAATCATCATATTACTACAATTATCAAAGACCGATAAATATCTCGTATGAATTCAGTATTATTTGAAGACTAAACAAGACAACATGAGACATAAACTTAATTAGAAATGTGAAATTGAATATATTGGCATATAAGATATAGATGGCTTGATACAATGATTTTCATTTATTGAAATCAAGGAAGCAATTATACTCTTTTTTCTTAACCCATATTTTGTCCCATTGAATTTTCTTGACAATATGTTAACGAGATAACGTTTGATTACTTCAAGTTGTTATAGCTTTTTGTACTTTTTTTTTTCATTCTTTTGATACGTTTATCTCATTGGATTTTTATCAAACTAAATTTTTAACAAAGTAGTTATTGTACAAGTAGTGATCAAAGGGGAGTGTTGTAAAAGTCGGAAATAATTGTTGATGTCTATTTGGTCTTCTCAATAGGGGTGGGCGCGGGTCGATTCGGTTTGGTTTTAAAGAGAATCGAACTGAACTGAACTTTTCGGGTATCTAATAAATGGAACCGTCGGGTCCAAATATAATTATGGAACCGTTCGGGTTCGGTTCTGTTCGGTTCAATTCCATTCGGTTCTGTACTATAATTAAATTTTTTAACATTTATAACAACATTATATAAATACAACTAATGATACATTCAATGATTTTGGAATGTTAGAGACTAGTAAACTACCTTGTTCAAATGATTGCTACGATCAAAGTTTCTGTTGGCGAAGGTCACAGTTTCGATCGGAGGTCACAGTGTCAGCTGATGATTGTATAGGTTTTGAAATATTAGCGAGGCTGCGAGAGTCGAGACAACGTTATGCACTTTAGTGTTGGTGTTTAAGGTTATTTAGTAGATTTGATTTTGCTTTGCTAAGAAATGAAATAATAAAATGAGTAATTGGGTCAAAAATTAAAAAAGAAACAAATTATTGGGGCAAAAATTTGGATTTAGAAATCATTAATTTGTTAATTTGTTTAGAAAAAATTAAAATTAAAATAATTTGATTCACTCATTATAAAAAAAAAAATTAGAAAGGTTCGGTTCTTATTCGATTTTTCGGTTCTTGGTCTAGAACCGAGAATCGAACCGTACCCGTCGGTTCTCAATTCAAATACCCGTTCGGGTATTTAATTTGACAATAACCGTCGGGTTCGAGTTCGGGTTCGGGTTCGGTTCGGTTCAAAAAATTAGCCCAGCCCTACTTCTCAACATACTTAGATAAGCTTTATCTACTCTAGAAGAATCTATTCTACTTTAATTGTAACTAGGGCTGGGCAAATCTCCTGAACCGAACCGACCGAATCAAACTGAACCGAACCTAACGGTTCTTGTCAAATTAAATACCCGAACGAGTATCTGAATTGAGAACCGACGGGTACGGTTCGATTCTCGATTCTAGACCAAGAACCAAAAAACAGAATAAGAACCGAATCTTTCTAATCTTTTTATATTGAATAAATCAAATTATTTTACTTTTAATTTTTCTAAACAAATTAACAATTTCTAAATCCAAATTTTTGGCCCAATAATTTGTCTCGTTTCTAATTTTTGGCTCAATTACCCATTTTATTGTTTTATTTCTTAGCCCAACAAGATCCAATCCACTAAATAACCCTAAACACCTACACTAAAGTGCATAACGCTGTCTCGACTCTAGCACTTACTCTCGCAGCCTCGCTGACATTCCAAAACCTATACAATCGTCAGTCGAATCTGTGACCTCCGCCGACCGAAGCTTTGACCGTAGCGATCATTTGAACAAGGTAGTCTACTAGTTTCTGACATTCCAAAACCATTGAATATGTCATTAGTTGTATTTATATAATGTTATAATAAATGTTAAAAATTTTAATTATAGTACAGAATCGAACTGAAACGAGCGGAATCGAATCCGAACGGTTCCATAATTATATTTGTACCCGACAATTCCATTTACTGAATACCTGAAAATTTTGGTTCGGTTCGATTCTAAAGAGAACCGAATCGAACCGACCCATGCCCACCTCTAATTGTAACTCCCATTTTGAACTCTATAAATACGGAGTCTTGGTTCTCAATAAAATAAACACTTGAGTTTGGACTCTTGATATTTCTTCTATTATGTTTCTCCTTTGTTCCTTTAGTTTTACAATATAATTAAATATTGTGTGATTTTTGAAGACTTTTTAAAGTCTATTAAAGTCTCTTCTAAATACATTAATTTATAATCTATTAAATATGACATCAAAGGAGAATTATTTTTTGGACAATTTTAACCATTTTACAATTCAATTATTTCAATAGTACTTTATTTTTCATTTTTCGATATGTAATAAATACTATAAAATTTTTGTCATTTGTGAATTTTGTGTCATTAATTCCCAATTAATTAATATTTACATGATCTAGATTCAATGAATTTTCACTCGATGAATCTTGAATTATATGAATTTAGAGTTATTATAAATGAATTTATTCATATTCATATATCTGAAAATTTTAATGGGTGTTTAAATTTATGTATTAAATGTAATATAAAAAAAGATTGCTCATTTATATTATTTCATCATTACAAAAAATTTGAATAATAAAAATTGAGTTTTGAGAGTTCAATTTGAGTATAATTTTCTTCTCTTAAATTTCTGTACTTAATTTTATTTTCTTTAATTTGTTCGAAACTCATCAAGTCCTTCAACAAATTGGTGTCAAATATTAGTTTTACGTCACTTATAAAATATCTTAGAATAATATGCAATGCTCATTTAACTTTGACTAGTACTTTTTAAAATATCTTTAAAATGTTTAAGTTAAATATCCCTAAATTTTTTAAACCTCTAATAGTTTTTAAAAGCCAATTGAATAACCCAATTCTAAGTATACTTATAGTTTAACTAAATAGAATTGAATAGCTTTGAAGGGAAAAGAAAATGTAATAAGAATTAGCATTTCTCTTCTAATTAATTTTATATAACTTGGTGTACTAAGCAAACATTGATATCCCCGTCATTAACTATTATTATTTTCTACTCAGAATACATAATGGTGTGTGAACAGGTATGCTTCCACGAATCCTATCCTAAATCAAATAAAAATTGGCACGCGAACATGTATGGTCAGTCGATAAATCCTAAACCAATTAAAAAAAAATGATTAAAAAATATAAAGCAAAAATTTGAAGGCAGACGCCGAAAAGCTTGAATTTTTTTTTATAAATCCAATTTTGTCACATGACTTGTAGACTTTCCTTATTCAAAAAGAAACAACTGACCAAGAATTATTTCATCAACTAATTTTGTCTACAAAATAAAGAAAAAATGTAACTTCTATATTTATAAGAGCTCAAAATATGGTTTAGTTAACAAACAATTAAACAAAATTTCAAGGTTAATTTATCGTATATGCACATTGTATCCCACTTGTTATTTAAATGTAAATTGCATTGGGACATTCCATTAGTCCATGCACAATTTTCATTAAATATGACTGGTAGGTTGTAAATCAAGACATTATATTTCAATTTAGATGTCTTACGTCCAGAGTCGAAGTTTGCCCTTGACAGTTCCACAAGCACTAAGAAGCGAATGCGTTAAATGAACATAGAACTCATAGAAGTTAAAGACCGAACACAAACATGACAATGGCACAATGCACTTAGGGTTCAATCTTTACTAGAAAAATTATTCAACAACTAACTTATCGTACCAAAATTTTGAGGCGTGTCCACTCGACAACCTAAATATGACCGCGAAAGTACATCTCTAATCTTGCCCCTCTCCCACTCAAAAAAATTCACTATGCCACGGTAATTAGTACATAACAAGCCCTTGTTTGACACATTATTTGAAAAATTAAGGAGTTTTGAATAGATATTTTGGAAAATGTATGGTTAAAAAGTAAAGAAACTTTATTGGGGTGTGTAGAATATTTTATTGTGTGAATGTGTAGTGAATAATGATACTGTAGCAAACAGTTTAAAATTTTAAAGGGGACCAAATAGAGGCTAAAATAGGAATAACCTTTTGTTGGAGAAAGAAGTTGACAATTATGATACTTCAACATGAAGTCACCGAAACAAACGTAGGATTACAGTCATCAAATTTCATAGAAACCAGTTCACATGGGAAAAAAAATATTTCCAAGAAAATTCCATAAAATTTTGCTTTCTTTCTATGAACGTGTTAGGCAAGCTGTCCACATCTACACTGCCTCCCAAAAAGATGGAGACCGTTTCTTTAACAAATTGCCCAATAAATGAATTTGTGAATAGTATATTGATGGAAAATGTGTGGTTAAAAAATAAGAAAAAATGTTAGATTTATGTGTAATATTATTTCATTGAAGAATGTATGGTTGAAATGATATCAAAACACTGTTGAAAAATACATTATTAAAAAAAAAAAAAAAGGGGCTCAAACAAAGGCAATTTCTCGGTATTTCATTGTCAAAATTTCCTTGAAATTGCGTGGCATCAAGTCCTGAACTTCCCATACTCTTCACACACAGACACCGACCAAACCCTTTTTTTTCGAGGTAACAATCAGTCACCTTCAAAGATATCCTACTCGATTATTTATTGTATAAATATCGGAGCATGTTGTGATGACAGAGAACAGAGATAATAGAATACATAACTCTCCACCCACCAAAAAGAACAAGAAGCATCATTGGTTTTAACATGGAGTTGACACAAGCAAACGCCATTTCATCCTTGATCCTTTTCCTAAATAGAATTCTTTGTTGGGATATTGAGAAATTATTTGTATGTATCCATTTCTTCCTTCATACTTTTCCAAAGTTTGTATCTACCAAATGGAAGCTTTGGAGGAAATCCATAGCATCTAACAGTGAACAATCAAATAAAGAATCAAGAATTCCAGAGAGCTCAATCAACGTATACTTTCAGAACACAGAGCTGAACATGGTGATGGATAGGCTGAATATAGTGTGTACAGAAGATGGAGAAGGCAGCATTTTTGGTGTGGCCGAGTTTTCGGTGCTGCTTGATGAAGAGCCCAGTTTGCAAGAAGTTAAGGAAACTTTCGATGTTTTCGATGCAAAAAAAGATGGTTTCATAGATGCTAATGAGCTTCAGAGAGTTCTGTGCAGCCTTGGCCTGAAGGAAGGATGTGAATTGGAAGAATGCAGAAGGATGATCAGAGCTTTTGATGAAAATGGAGATGGACTAATCGATTTTATTGAGTTTGTGAAGTTCATGGAGAAATGCTTTTACCCTTCGATTTAATAGAGATTTGTGAGAATTTTCAGCCAATCTGGATTTGCTGATTCGAAATGCCATTTTATTCGACGTCTACATATACAAATTTCAGATTACTTGTATCGTTGGTCTTGTGGTAGCACCCGAGTCATGACCACGTGTTGTGTTGTCTTTCAACTCATTTAGTGTTACGACATTTGTAGATAGATTAACTACATTGCCGACATTAGGAGTGAAAATGGGATAAAAAACGTGGAACTAAAATAATAATAATAATAATAATAATAATAATAATAATAATAATAATAATAGGGTCTTAATTATTTATAACATACAAACAGATGTTGCTCGAATTTCGTTCAAACGGACCCCGATTTGATTTCGCTAGAAAATCTGATTAAAATCTATGACAAAATCAACAATCAATTCTAACCACACATTTATTGGAATAACAACTTTTCAACCTCAAGTTCGATCAATTTTCATCAAAATCTGCTAAAATTTAATTTTAATATATATTAAACATGGGATATTAGAAATCAAAATTGACTTTTGGAATCCCTTAACAAATATTTAAATACTCAAAACAAATTCTAATCAAATCGAAATCCTAATCCGTTAGACAAATCCGAATAAAATTAAAATATTACAAAAATGACTAAAATACCCTTCAGGTAACTATAAAGTAGAAAGACGCTAAAATGGACCCTCAAATTATGGAATTTGACCTCGAAAGTTTGACGATAATAGTTGAATGCAGAATCGAAAAACATATTCAGATTTTACAAGCTCGCCAAAATCTGACAATTGAATTGAAAATTACGCATATTTTTCTTCTCTAATTGATTTATGATTTTCTCTTCTGATCCGCACCAAAACTGGTGCTTTTCATTCTTCAAGAGTGCTAAATTGAAGTATTGAACTACCTGTCCCTCCCCCAACTCAAAAAATGCCACCATGCCACATTAATTGATAAGGTGGTAATTACTAATTAGCTACCTCCTCCTCCTTCTTTCTTCCTCTTCTTCTTTAACATACTAAATTTATTTTAAAAAATACATTAATACTAGATGAAATCATACCTTTTTGTTTAATTATATACTATCAATAATTAAATCACTTTTCAAATTATAAATATTTAAACCTCATTTTTTGGATCTATTCTAATCTTTCCCATCTTTTGAGTCTATCATGTAAATCTGAAAATGCTTAATTAGCCCAATTTGACAACCATTATTTGGGTAAAATAGAATTTTGAATGGTGATTTTTGAGAGAATGTGTGATTAAAAAGTGAAAAAAAATTTGGATTTACGAGTTCAATATTTTAGTGATAAATGTGTGGCCGAAAATAAGTACGTAAAAAAATAGTTTTAAAGTAATGGTTGTCAATCAAAGGCACAATAAATAACGGATTTAAGTGTCTCTCTAATAAAACTTAGTAGCAGATATTTCATCTAAATAATCGCCCTTACTTGGTTCATCAATAGGGTTGGCAACGGTTCGGTTATGGGTCGGTTCGACCAAAATCATAACCGCACCACCAATTTTTTGACAATACCATAACCGCACCATAACCACATAAATCGATTCGGTTCGGTTCGTATCTCGATTCGACACGGTTCGGATTGTATCTCGGTTCAGCACGGTTCGATTCGGTTAATAACCACGAAAATAAATTATTTTTTATAAGTTCATTCGTCAAATTGATATAAAACAATTTATGAAAAAAGTCAATGAAAATAAAAATACAATATTGCAAACGAAAATGCAAACATTATCCCAATTTTCAATTGTAAAATACAAATTTAACAAACAATAATATAAATATAACAATACTAAACTTTTCCTTCATTCTTAATTGTTGTGCATCAAAGTTACTTGAGTCATTCTTCCCCACAAGTCCTACTAGCATAAACCAACACTCAAAGTTGATTCCTATATAGTAAATAAGAAATGTAAGTAGAAAATACAACGATACTATCTATTCCAGAATGGTCTTAAGTAAAATTTAAATAAAAAAATGTACTTCTTCGTCAGCTTCCTTCTCGTTAAATGTTGCACAAGTTCTAGAGTATGATGAAAAAGTAGAATTTTCTAGACACAATAGGAAAAAATTAACAATAAAAGGAATCGTGCGTGAGTTTGTGGTTTGTGGAGAGTAGAGTTTACATTTATATACTGTCATACTAATGTTATTATTATGGGCTAATGGTAAGTGGATTGACCGGCTAAGTTAGGTAGATGTAATGGGGGGAATTTTGTTTTGGGCTAGATTGAAAAGTAGTGTAAAGTCCAATTATCAATTCAATTTTTTTTTTATTTTTTTTAACGAGTAATCGGTTCGGTTTCGGTTCGACGGCGTAAATATCATACCAGCACCGCCACGAACCAGTTCATTAAAGTAAAAATCATATCCGCCCCATTACACCATCGGTTAGGTTTTTTTTGCCCCATTCGGTTCGGTTAACCACGATTTTCGATTTTGACGGTTCAAATTGCCATCTCTAGGTTCATGATTTATTTACCTGTGGCATCATAATATTATTGCATGTTTGCTTGTCTAGAAATCATTTTCCTGAGAATTGTAAATTATTGTGTTTGATTGGTATAATTTTCTACGTGAAAAATATTAAAATAAAAGTGTTTTTTGGTGTTCGTTTGGCTTTATTTTACATGAAAATTGTCAATTAAAGGGATAAAATTTACTGATATTAGGGATGAAATTTGTTTCGATTGTCAAAATTCAAAAAAAAAATTTCAAGAAAAGCATTTATCTTTTAGTGTTCGTTTGGCTTTCTTTTATATAAAAATTGTCAATTAAAGGGAAATATGTTTTTATAATATTTTTTAAAATTTGTTTTCATTACCAAAAAATAATAATAATAAATAAAAATAAAATAAAGACTGGAATTTAAATTCTCACCATTTTGGTGAGAATGAAAATTCTATCAATAAAAAGAAAATGCTAATGTGGCGACAGTTGATGAAATTCCAATTCCATGTAATTAAAAGACTATCAAACAAGCCATTTTATAAAAAAAGGAATTTCATTTCCATTTTCTAGGGAAAACAAGGGCAATCAAATAGGCCCTAATACCATTTGCTTGATAGTAATACCATTATGATTTACGGTAATTTTATATTTTTGATTTTTAAGTTTTTACAGTAAAAGTTAGACAAGGGAAAAAAAATTGTTATTTATCTAAACTCCCGGATAAAAGAGACCAATTTGAGCTTAGCAATTATCTAACTAGGTTTATAGTTCAACTTGAAGTCATCAAACATACGTAGGATTAAAGCATTAGAAATTTCATAGGAACCTTTTCAACATGAAAAGTAAATTAATATTTCTAAGTAACTTCTTCACCTTTTCTTAACCGTCTAGAAGAGAATTTTTCTTTTACAATTTTTCGGTGCTCCATCATAAAAAATTCGTGGCATTAACACACTCCAAACCCCCTAAATTTGTTATGTAATAATGTGACACCTGCCAAGATAACCTAATTCCTTAGGTATAAATATGATGACAAATTATTATTAATTTGCTAAATTTGTGTAAATCAAATATATTACAGACATTTATAATTTGGGAATAACACATAACTCCGACATATAAGAATCACATTTCACAACTAACAAACTTTCTAAAATATTTCATAAATCAGGCGGTAAATTCACCCAAATTCACCCCCATCCCCACCCCACCTCACCCCACCCCACTTTCAGAATGTTTTCCTAAAATTGAATTTGTAAATTGCACCATTACCCCCACGGAACCACCCTACCGCACTCCCGCGCACCCCACCACCAAAAAATTTCCAGAAGTTGAAAATTGGAGATTACACCCCACCCCACTAAAGAAAAATATTAAAAAATTGAAATTAATTTCTCTCTCTATACCACACTCCCTTTGTAGAAAAATCTCCAGAAATTGTGATGGCAGTACTGGCGCATTAGAGGTGATTAGATTTGTGACTATTTGTGTTATTTGTGAGCAAATTTGTTGTTTGTGATCCTACTTGTCTTGTATGTAACTATTTGTAACCAAGTTTGCATTCGATACTATGATCATCTAATTTGTGACTGTACGTAATCAAGTTACTAGCCTGTGCTATTTGTGATTAATTATGACAATATTTGTCATCAGTGAAACAAACTATGACCAAATTTGTTTTCAATGTGACTGTCCATAATCAAGTCAATTTTAATTATAACGTATGTGACTGATGCAGGAGGATCCGAGTCGAGTGATGCTGATTTGTCAGATAGCATGATGATGGCCCTGAGATACCATGAGATGGTGGATCAGAGCAAAGATGGAAACTGAATCGCCATTATTTCCTTAATTTGAGGAATTTGACGCGTCTTTGATAATTTGGCCATAACTTTGGCTACGGTTATCGGAATTGCTATTATGACCCCCAATCCGGAAATCTCTCTTCGGCGCGCACGTCGTGATATGCTCGGTGGATGTCAATTTCGAGCCCAAAATCCATTGTTTTCCTTTCCAAAATTCAATTTTAAGTTATTTTTTACTATTTATGGTAATATTTCGTTTCCTTTTTTCCATATGTTAGAAAACTCGAATTGAGCCAAATTTTTGGCAACTTACTTTTTTTACTTAATATTTTATTTTGGTATAGTTTCAGGATTTCGCCATTTTTGGTAATTTTCTCATAATTTAGTATTTCGCAGCTATTTAACCCGGCTTGTGGGTTAATTTTGATCATTCTGCATTGTTAATAATATTGAGTTGAATTCAGAGTATTTTCTCTTATTTTTGGGCGTTTTCTGTCGTTCTTTTCTTGCGAATCATCTGCTACAACAAACCAATAGGATAATCACTATCCTACCTGGCGTCAGTTGGTATCAGAGCGTCAGCATCTTCTTGGGAGATAAATTTCATCAGTTATAATGGTTGGTGGACGTGGTCGTGGTCGTCGAGGACAGGTTCCGATTGAGGAAGTCCCTCATCGTGATCGTCATATTCAGGATGTGATGATTTAAGATTTGCAGAGACAAGTTG